TATTCTTGTTCTGAAAATCTGCAGTGTATGTGTTGTTATATGTTACCCTGTTTCTGTCTTTGGTTTTGTGTTTCTTGCTCTTTTTGCTCTTCAAAATAAAAGAAAATTATTTTTTTTAAAGAAAACAAAATAGCAGAAAGCAAACAAACAAATAAAAACAAGAAGCTTAAGTAAAGTATTTTATTGATAAAAATGCCAATGATCCCCTAAGCCCTCATAACTGTTTTGTTGCTGGAAAATCTCGTCTCCTAATCAGGGTCATGTCTGCTGCAGGTTGGGGCAAATGGAGCAGTAAGCCAGTGTGGAAATCAGATGGAGATTTCCAAAAGAACTAAAATGAGAACTCCCATGTGACCCAGCTATTCCCCTTCTTGCTATCTTTCCCAGAAGGTCAAGAGTGTCACCTCACAGTGATGTGCTCACGGATATGCACACACATCCACAGGTACAGCAGCACACTGCACGGAAGCCACATCCTGGAAGCGACCTGTGTGTCTACCACCAGCTGAGCTCATAAAGAAGTATGGCACATGTATGCCAGTGGAGTGCTGCTTGGCTGTAAAGAGCGATGAGTTGGAGACACCTGTAGGGAAGTGGACACACTTGGAAAGCATAAATGTGAAATGAAGCAAGTCAGGTATACAAGTTTAAATACTGATTTCTATCTCTCATTGGAATGAGGCAAGTATAAATAAGAGCAAAACAAAGGTTTAGTAGGGGAAGCAGGAAGATAGATGTTTTGCAAATAAATGGGGAGGAAGTCCAAGAGACTGAGGGGAAGCAAGGAAGGGGGTGGGAGACATGAAAAAATTTAACATCTCTCTCTATATGTACCAAATACCCACAATGGCTGAAAACACTGCATGTTGCATATAGGAACTCAACGAACAGTAATAACAATGATAATGAAAATGGGGAAAGATGATTTAGAGATGGAAGGAGAGAGGGAGGTGGGAAGGGGGGAGAACAAAAAAGAATTAGGATGCACTTTGTACCTGAACCTACTCCCTAAGATGAGATTAAACTTCACGTCTTACAGGAATGAATCTTAAAAAATAAGGTAATAAAGCTTGCCACGTAGACTACATCTTCCCCTTAGGTGCGATTTCCTGTAGCATGCAGACATTTGAGAGTGCTGCACCCAGAGGAAGGCTCCTTTCTCGCTTGCACTCCGTCCTCAAACTCTGCTCTCAGTTCAGTGAGTCAGTTTACTTGATGTTCTGCATTTTTTGTTGTCACTTTGACAGCATTTGTAACATCTTTCCACGTAGCAGGTTCCATCTCAATAAACTGCTTTTCCTTCCATCTGAATTGAGCTTGTAGGTCTCCCCAGGAAATTTCATTGACTCAGTCACCTTCTAGGCCCCACTTCTCATTCTTTTGTTACTTCTATCCCAGCTGGATTACTTTTTCCTCCACTGTTGAATGGAATCCTTCACAATCATCACTCATGGGCACCAACTTCTCTGTTTCCTGGTGATGTCCATACTTTGATCTCTCCCACTTTCTTCATGGTGTCCAGAGCGGTGAGTTCTCTCTGCAGGGTTCACTGCTTGCTTTCTAAGGTCTGTTAGCAGAATTTAGTTTGTAGCAACAGCTATGGCCCTATGAAAGGAACTTATCAAATCATAAGAATTGAAAGTTGAAATAACTTTCCAAATTATCCTTGACCTATGGAATGAATGATAAATCTGTAGGCAGAAAACACTAGCCTGATACTTTCCCAGAAGAGTCTTGGATGGTTAATGAGGAGTAGTATTTTGAAGGAAGCTTTTTCTTTAGAGCAATTGGCCTCACACGTGGACTTAAAATATATGGTAAATTGTGCTGTAAGTAGATGTGTGGTAATGAAAGCTTTTGCATTCTATTTATAAAGCACATGCAGAGCAGATGTGGCATAATTCCAAAGGCCCAGGACCCTTCAGAAGCTGTGTGATCCTGGGCTTCATGTTAAAGCTGCCAGTTCCATTGGCCCTGAGTGAGAGTTACCCTTCCCTTGAAGCTGTGAAGACAGGTACTGATTGCCACTTCCTCTCGAGGGACAAAGGCCTAGGTCATGTTTTCTTCGACTAGAAGGCTGTCTGTGCATGCTGCAAATCTGTCACCTAGTGTGACTGTCTTTCTCAGTAATCCTCACTCCATCCCTGGATGTCCTGGCTCTGCCTGCACATTGCTATGCGCTGCCTCTCCTGGACCTCACACAACAAGCTCTGCTGACTCCGCACGCTTTCCTGTGGCTTCCTTACCTCTCCCAGCCTTTGTAGAATGGAGGAGAGTGAGAGCTTTTCTTTGGAGCAGGTCTTAGATTAAGGGAATGGTGTGACTGATCTTCTAGCCCAAACACTAAAACTCTCTATACATCAGCTTTAGGCTATTTTGATTGATAATGTTTATGGGAATGGCACATTGGATGTCCTTCAAGAACATTTCCTCAAAAAAAAAAATTTTTCCTTAGAGTTTGTGACTCAGATAACCTGCATAAGAGGCACCACTGCTCTGCCACCGTGGCTTGGATCAACCTCTTCACCACGCTCCATGCTTCCCACCTGAGAGTTTCAAGGTGAAGACATGTGAAGTTTTCTTCACACCAACACAAAGGCATTGTCGTAGGCTGAGCAATTCACCTTCAATATTCTATCTCAGGCCATGATGAGATCTGAAAAGAGGGAGAGAGATGGAGGAACAGTGCCTGGTTCGCGGAGCAGTCAAAACTCAAACATTCGCCACGTCGGGGTCCTTAAGCGGGTGTAACTGCAGATCTGCACAGCTGCAACAGCAGCATCAAAGAGCAGCAACCACAAGTCACACGCGCAGATGTAACAACAAGCAAAAAGTTTAACACGGTGCAAGAATAAATAAAACACGACAGAAACACCCAAGAGGAACACATGCCCTCAAAAAAGCTAAATGGTAGCGACAGGCTTACTTGATGAAAGGTCTCCGCAAGTCTTCAATTTGTAAAATCAAAGCATGCAACATCTGCCAAGTACCATAAAGTGAAGGACAATAAAACAAAGTGTGCCTGTTCCGTATGATAGAAATAAGGAAAAGCCCACACGAAGGAAACTATCAACAAGATCTATTTGTCCAGGAATACTTGACCCTATCAAATCCACGCATCTAGAGCTGATATTTAAATAATGAGGAACAGGCAGACCTGGGCGAGGCCGTCACAGCTTCATTTATAACTGAAAGCAGACTCCAGCCATCAGAACGCTCTCAGGTCTGGTAGAGAGCCATGAGCAGGGTGAGCTTGAGAGGGAGAGAAGGCTTTCCAACAAGACAAATAGCTGAAGGGGGCTCAGCTATCCAGATGTCAAAAAGTGTTCCACTCCCAGTGTTTCTGTTTGGAGGCCTTATGGTTCATTACAGCTTTCTACTGTTTTTGTTTTTTATTATTATCTTACGTTTTGTAACGGCTGCCACTTACTGGCATATGGACAAGGCAAATGATGATGAATCATTTATTTATTTATTTATTTACATATTTATTTTCTTTATTTATTGGCTGGCTCAGCGCACCTTTAGGGCAGGGCTGGCACAGCATGTGGTGCCAGGGATCAAACCATGGTCCCCTGTGCCTGCCTGCCTAAGCTTGTCTAAGCAGGCGCTTTAGACCGCTGAGCTATTTTGCTTCACCTGGCGAGTGAGTTATTTATTTATTTATTTATTTATTTATTTATTTATTTATTTATTTATTTATTTATTTATTTATTTATTTATTCTGTAATTAGGACAGGGCCTGTGGGTGCTACAGGGCCTCACTACATAGACCAATTCAAGTGACTCTACTATGTTCAGCCTCCCAAGTGCTGGGATTCCAGGCACATGCCACCATGCCCAGTTTCGTTTCAGCGCACCCCAGGGGTGCAGCCTGCATGGCACGCTGGGGATGGAACCCCTGGCCTCTGTATCTGCCTACGCAGGCACTTTAGTCCGCTGAGCTATCAGGCCGACCCTCTGGTGAGTCTTTTAGAGCTTTCAGTGATAACAAACAAACCCTACGGCACGGCATGTGTGCCATAAATTCACCCCCACTGGACTAGGCCTTCAGCCTCTGCATCCTGGGAACTGGTCATGTGTGACATCAGGGTCCTAAAGACCCCCGCCACGACTGCTTCCTGTTGCTGAGGATGTCTGCAGCTTTTAAAGGCAGCCTTCGAAGTGAGCAGGGAAGGAGGCACTCCTTGCAGGAACTAAGAGTGAGGGGCGGGGAGGCTCGAGGAGAGCTGGCACGGCAGAGATGGGGACGAGGAGAGCTGGCACGGCAGAGATGGGGATGTGGCGGATGACCAAGGAGAGAGGAGCTGCTGAGCAAAGCAAGCGCAGCCTCCTCCAGGAGCTTGTGGGAGCGACTCAGCCAGCCTTGCAGAAGCAGGAGCAGGCCTCTGTGTCTAGCTTTCCCACCCTCTCTCATTTGTCTTGTCCAGCTTTGACAAGAGGAGGAGGCAAAGCCGGGGGCCACAACAAGCCTACTAATTCTTGGCAAATCCAGTTTTTGAGTCAAGGCAAACTTCTCATTCAGGAATGCTCCACAGTAAGCCCCCAAATTAGGTCACAGGTGACTAGTGTTTCCTTCTGTTTCACAGATCGGGACAAGGAAGCTCAGGAAGTTAGCGACCCAAGGACCCACAGTAAGTCTGTAAGTCTGGTCCCAGGGTCCCAGGCGGTGCTCAGAAGAAAACTGCTGTCGAATGCAGCTCACTGGGGTTCAACCAAGACCTGAGCATGGGGCTCTGGGATCCGCTCTTTGCTCCTTACCCTCCGTACCCACTGACTCAGACAATTGCAGGCTCTCACCGGCACCCTCCCTTGCTCGGGAAGGCTGGAGACACCACTGAGGCTTGGGTTGCACTCTACAGAGTTTATTTCACTAATTAAAAATGCTGAGGTGACCAACTTTTATCATGCCTGTCCTACTCAGTAATGTTTAACTTGAACTTGGGGAAAAAAATCTAGGAGATAAAAGAGCATGCCATCTGCCAAGCCCATTCCACCCCCAGTGGTTGTTAATCTCAGGACACATCTAATTTCCTTCTCCTTGGTACCTACTTCAGAAGAGGACCCGGTGGCTCTCGGCCAGGGCACAAGTCCGCAGCTCACGGTACCAGTTTGTCCTACAGCTATCTTCTCCAGTGTACCTTGAGGATCTTCCTCCAGTGTGGCTTGGGTCTGCAGATCCACCCACTAGCCCACATCCTCCTGAAGAAACTGCAGGCTCCCTCTCAGAAAAGCTTCTGCTGCCGTGACTTGGGGGTCACCCTGCAGGGCCCTGGTTGAGAGCCTCGTCCTAGTGCTGTACTCCCGGCATGGAGGTGAAGAACTTCGCAGCTTGGGACTATGTTGTATTCGCAGCCCTCTTTATCGTTTCCTCTGGAATTGGGGTGTTCTTTGCCATTAAGGAGAGGAAAAAGGCAACCTCTAAGGAATTCCTGATAGGGGGAAGGCAGATGTCCTTCGGCCCTGTAGCCCTGTCCCTGACAGCCAGCTTTATGTCGGCTGTCACTGTCTTGGGAACCCCTGCTGAGGTCTACCGCTTTGGGGCCTCCTTCACGCTCTTCTTCATTGCTTACGGGTTCGTTATCATCTTCACATCGGAACTTTTTCTCCCTGTGTTCTACAGATCTGGCATCACCAGCACCTATGAGGTAAGAGAACAGTACCCGTTTTCTCCACTTCATGGGGAGCTACTATTTTCTCTCCACTTGAAGGTGTTCATTCTCTGTTCTATTCCTCTAGGAATATACACCATCTGGCTCATAAAGCCGGTGGTCAAAAACACTCACTGATTTTTCAAGATAACTCTACATGAGTCACAAAGGAGGAATGCTGCAGGGAAAGGTCCATGCTTTGGCTACACACACTCTCGATTTCCCAGCAGTAGATTGAGAACTCATGGTGTCAGCTCCACAGGGCTGTTTCAAAGATGAGATGAGACTGCACTGCATTGTCTGGTTTACGGGATGCACTCAGGAAAAGAGTGCCTGCATTATTTTTATTCAGAGAAGAATTGTTAAATTTCATGCTTTTTGTTTTTTTATTTTTATTTTATTTATTTATTTATTTGAGAGAGAGAGAGAGAGAGAGAGAGAGAGAGAGAGAGA